TCCGGTTTTGAACTGCCCGTGGGAAGAATGTAGCCTACATGTGAGAATCTGTACATTCTTGGTTAAAAGCCATGTGAAGTCTCTTTTCTCTTTCGTCTCCTCTCTTCCTCTGTGTATCTCTCTCGCTGACTCGACCTGCAATGCTCAGGGCAGTTAACGGCTCTGGCAATGCTTAACAATGCACAGACTTGATTGGCTGAGCAGAATCACATGGGACGATTAGAGCCCATGCGATTGGTCTGTGAGTTTCCTGTGTCGCTGAACGAGGACAGTAAATGCTAGAAAAGCTGCACATTATAGAATAGAACACTGTTTAAAAATATGGAATTGAAAAATGCTGGGAATAAAAAGCTGCACACAGAAAGATGTCTTTAATCTACAATCTTATCATGGGGGTTCTTGGAAAGCAGTAGCCTAAAGGTAAAAACAAGTCAAGAGTTTCTGTAACACATCAAACGTATTGCCATATGTGATATTCACTTTTCCTACTTTTTAAAAAGATGCCTTGACTGCTGGAACCAAGTGAAAAGCTTTTGTAGCCAGTCGGGACAGTTTGGGGAAAGCACCTAAAGCTGGACATAGGTAGGCCAGGCAGAGGCCAGTCATGTAGGTTAAATTATAAAATTATTTCCTCTTTTTCACCTCAATATTCTTTCTCAGCAGTTTTAATATTTGACATTTTTTCGGCATGTTCTTTTCACTCTTTGCTGACTAGTTTTGGCTTCTTGTGCACACATGTTGCTCAAAATAAAAAGTGAAAGTTTAGTTAGGCTCCTATTTTTAGATAGGCTACTCTGAAAAGGAAATATTAGCCTATTGTACTTGAAGTCAGAACTAGCTTCTATGACTCTTTGACTCAGACTGTGGGCATGCACTCAAAACCCAGGTGGGAGTTGTTGAATAAAACCTACCCCTTTTTTAGTTAGCTTGACATTATGTAAAAGGCAAAATTGCAATGGAATGTTTCTCTTGTGGTAATTATGAAAATATGACACATGTAACTGCATTCCCATGCTGTAGGTGCACACGCCGACTGTCCCATTGAGTTGAGCCCCCCCAGGGTTGCGGTGAGATATGGAGACCCAGTCTCAGTCAACTGCAGCATGCATGCAAGTGTGCCTGAGAGTATGTTTGACGGAATGGGCTGGGAGGCTCCAGGAGGCACAGGGATAGTGAAGAATGTCAGAAGTTTGAATTGGACTCCGAAGACGCTAACTGAATGGGACATCAGACCCCAATGCTACTTCAACCCATTAAATGATAGTCTTAAACAGTGCTTCAAAGACCTAATAATTGTAATTTACAGTAAGTCTTGCTTATTTTCTCATAGAACAGAATGATACTATGACTAACAGAATCTTCTTAATTTGTACAATAGGCTACAAATCCAATGCACGTTAATAACCATTTTGCACATAGTCTATAGGCCTAATTATTTTTAATATATCTTGCTTATTTCATATTTTTATATTGATATAGGCTTATATCTATTTCTACTCACCCAGTCAACAAAGCAAATCCCTTGTATGTGTTAAAACTACTTGGCAATAAAGCTGTTTCTGATTTATTTTTCTCCAGCATTCCCAGAGACCATCCGTATCAGCTCCAGCAGTGGCTCAGATGGTGTGATGAAGGAAAAGGAGGACTATAACATCACTTGTGACATCCACAATATAGCCCCTGTTCAAAATCTCACTGTAAAGTGGTACAAAGGAGATGTCATTGTCCGAACAGACACTTTTGACAATCCCAGTAAGAAACCAGTGAATCAGTCATCTGTCCTCAACTTTACACCAACTAGACAAGACGACAGAGTCACATTCAGATGCAAGGCACATTTGAACCTGGGGCCAGAAGAGCCACAATATAATGTATCTTCACAAGAGTATAATATCACAGTTCACTGTAAGTATATCATGCGTACTCACCTATTTATTTAAAATAAATGCATATTTAGGCTATTGAGGTAGTTTGAAATGGTGAATGTTAATGACTATTATTTTGATCAAATAAAACCCAAACATTTGACAGTTTCAGCCTCTAACCTGTGAGGATTTGCTGCCTTTCTTCTCTTACTATAGTAAACTGAGAATACCTCTGTTTTTTATGTTTAATAGACCAAACAATTCATCGATTAAACGCACAATATGTCATTTCTGCAACTAGGGGTCTTTCACATAAAAACAATAATAAAAGACATACTTTGATGATGTCATTAATTATCGTAGGATCACGTTGTCTTCACCACAATGCAGTCACCGTCTCCCGATTAGGATTCCTTCAGTGTTCATAGTTCAGAAGGTTTTTACTGAGAAGTGAATTATTTACAGAGGTCTCCTGCTCTCCAAAATAAATGGACCAGGTGATTAAAACTGTTAAAAACACTCAATAAAACAGTTTCATGTAAAAAAAAAAAAAAAAAAAAAAGCTTGCTGCTAACATTTGCTAAGCTTGCTTTTCTGATAACTTAAGATACAGACATTCCAGAGGTTTTGTATCAGGAGGTGAATTGTCCACAAAGGTTTCCTCTTCCAAATAAACAGAATCTGTAAAAACATTGAATAAAGCAGTTTTACTTTATGAATCAGTATTTCACTGACGCTGTTCAGTGACAAGATGCTGCGAGACAAGGTAACAATAATGTTTGCTAAGCTTGTTTCTTTAATAACTTCATCTTCATCCAGATGATGACCCAGACATCCTAATGTATGAAATCCATCATCTATAGTTAAAAATGACCAAGATCTAAAGAGAGTATTGTAAAAATGAGGCTTAGAACAGAATAAAGACTCAATTTATGACAGCTTCTGGCAGACAACCAATGCCAATGACAGGTGACCAAATGAAATGCATTGTTATCTTGATTAAAATTTTTTTTGGAAATACAAACTCAAGAAAGAATCTTACATAGCTCTCATCATTGTTTTTGACATTTTAATGCAGAAAGGTTACATATTATATCTTTAAATCAAGAAAATAATCATGAGTTTGATCGATAATGAAAAGAATCGTTAGTTGCAGCCTGAATGTTTTTACAATACTACAATTTTACTTTACTAGTTTTTCCAACACGTGCAGCTATAAATGATCTTGGCCTTAAAAGAACACATGTCTAAAAAGGGGAAAACACCCACATTTCAGTCAGTTCTCTTGCCTTAGCTGTTTTTAATCTGTTAAATAAAAGCACAATAGTATAAATAGTTGCTTTGTTTGCTTCTGTTTAGTTGGACCAGATGTACGATGTTCCAGTTCTGCATTACTGGAAGGGGAAACTTTGGAGAAGCTATGCAATGTGACAGGAAATCCCAAACCAATTGTCAAATGGCTGAAAGACAAAAAGCTCACAGACCCGACCGTCCCTCTGAGTAGGGAGAATGCAGGGCTGTACACCATTGAAGCTAATGGCTTGTCATCCATCCAAAAGGAACTCCTGGTTACTGTACTGTGTGAGTGTCACATCCAGTCACCAGCACAAACAGCCACATAAGCATAAAGAAACAAAACATTTTGTTTTGGGAATTATGTTTTTTATCATTTTTATATTTTACACACAGATTCTTTGGGTTGCACTTTTCATTTATCTCCAGGATATTTTATTTAGTGCCTTTTTCAGTATTGCTTATATGTGCAAATGGATAGATGCACAAATAAAGCTTGGTCTAGCTGCTACCAGAGTGCTAGATGTAGCGGTAGAAGAAGTACTTAGATCTATAAAATACTAATTTTGCAGATAGTCCGTAGTATTGTATTATTGTGTTTTTGCTTTCAGATGGACCAGAGTTGATGTGTCCAAGCACTTACACTGGAATGGAATACGCTCCTCACAACTTCACCTGCATTGTTAAGGGCTATCCTAAACCTATGACAGTCTGGTACAAAGATGGTGAGAAGGTGGAGGAATTTCCGGAGAAATTCACGAGACGTGATGCAGGGCAGTACTTGATCACAGCTTCAAACAATCTGACAAGTGTGAATGTCACAGTGGAGATTAATGTCATTTGTAAGTTATTTTGATAAAAATCCTTAATACCTACTATTAGCAGGAGCGATTCTGTATGCTATACATAGTGCATTTGCTTTTTCTCTGACATACATTCTTTAATTGTTGTCTCTAGACCCACCATCACAGATAGTTGAGCTCGAAGATTCTGAAGTCAACCTTGGTTCTACTGTGTCGCTGAAGTGCTCCTCCACGGGCAACCCACGACCAAAATATTTCTGGAATTATTACCGGACTGCCAATGTGATGGAGGAAAATGAAGATGGAGTGTCCCGTCTTAACATCCGCAATGCTACTGCATACAACATGGGCTCCTACACATGTCATGCCACGAATGACAGAGGAAATGTCTCTAAAACAGCCAGAGTCACTGTAAAAGGTAGGGTCAATATAATGTATATACCACTTTAATGTACTCAGTAACTGTTAATGCACTCTTTTAAAGAGCTTCAGAATTAGCTGCACCACTTGCAACAGTACTTTTATCCTCCTTTTCCCATTACTTTACAAAGGCAGGTGCTGGAAAGAGCTGTGGTGCTGAGCATACTGTTTGTTGAAAGCTCAAATTATTGAATATACATATAATGGAAGCAGTGTTTTGCACTTTGAATAGATTTTCAATATTTACAGAGGAACAAAAAATCAATTCCCTGAATCTTCCCCTCGAGCTAAAAGAGAGTACTGAGCAAGCACACTGTATGTTGATGTACAGTATATTTCAATAAACATATGAAGCAGACAGATAACAGATGAGGACTCACCAAGTTCAGTACAACAGCCCTTGTACTTGACAATGCTGTGATAAAGGGACTTCTAGATCTCAATCTCCTTCATCCAGCCCTCGGGCACATAACCATCTTTTGTTTCACAGCCTTCACTGCCACGCGCTCTCCAGTCCCATCGTGGGCCGGGTCATAGAAGTAGAGAGTCACCTTTCCAAACTGACCCTGGAGACAGAAAAATTAGATTGCTGTCTAACGTACAGGGACCTGAAAACTACTGGTGATGTTGTATTAGTACTCACCTCTAAGTCCCGCGTCTTTTTCAGGTAGTGTTTATGGAACACGGTATAGGGTCTTTTAAGGGAGAGTTGAAAATGTCTCATCAACTTGCCATGGACTTCGGTACAGACATTCATGTCTCCGGATCAATTTTAACAAATTTGGCAGTCCCCTGTCCTATCAGTTCAGAAAATGAAATTGCTCAACAACTTTGACTAAGATGGTGAACGTGGCAAACATTATACCTGCTTAACATCAACATGATAGCATTGTCACTGTGAGCATGTTAGCATGCAAAGCACCTACAGCCTCACACAGCCGCTAGCATGGCTGAAGTCTCTTGGTCTTGTTTTGTATATTTACATTATTTTTGAAAGCCACTGTTACATGCTTTAAAAAATCATTCTGAATGTTTAACCCCCTATGTGCTCTAAAGTTGTATTCTTAAGTGGGCATTTGGATATCTGAACTAGGGATGGGACGCTCGATACTGACATTCACAGTACAACTGCTGATGCCACTGTGGAGGCTAAAAATATTTGACAGACGCTTTTGTTCCAAGGACACGTATGATCCTTTGATATATTGGCAGGAGCGAAGTGCTGTGTATCTGCTCGTATACCTGTATATAATGGCAAAAAATACTTATTACTTAAGCACTTAAGTGCTCCATGTGAACACATTTTTTCATTTATGAAAAGAAAAACAGCAGAATATTTCTGAATAAAATTCTTGACTTAAAACAAATGTGAGACATTGTTCCACTTTTAATTTATCATTCTTGTAAAAAAAAAACTTCAACTTTACTCAGTTAAGAATTTTTAATATAAATAACTGAATTAATAAAAATGAGTGCTGGTTATTATTCATTATTATTACACTAGGGCCTATATCTTTCCTGCTATTTATCATTACACCTCTCTGTTAATAAGCTACTGTATAATACTGTAGATATCCACATTCCACATTCTTAGATTCATTTGTATACTTTTTATTATATTCTCTACTCGCTAAATTCCACTGTTATTGCCATTCTGAGTATCTGTAACAAAGAATTTACCCTGTAAGTATTCTGGTTCAAAAATATGAATACGCTGTGGTTAGTGGATAAGACGCATCCCTTTGTGAGATCCCCCTAGTTGCTCCAGAGGCGCGCGACCTCTGATAGCCTTTATATAGCAATTCTAAGTGGCTTTGGATAAAAGCGTCAGCAAAATGACTGATTAGGCTTACTTATGAAACAACACACGGATGTGTTTTATTTAAACACACTTTTATTACAACCCCCATCTGCTGTCTCTGACCATCTGAAAGCGTTTATGTGTTTGTTGTATGGTGATTTCTCTGAAATCGTGTTGGTCACGTACGTTGGTCAGTCATTATTCGAGATGACGGGGGCTTTCGCCGACTTCATAGTCTAACGTGAGCTGCAGGTGACTGCAAGGGCGGGGTATGAAAACGGCGCCGTAAAGTCGGAGACATTTACCTGTATGAGCTGTGAGCTGCGACAAAGTACTTCTAGGCTCTAACTTGTCTCTGGTTGATCAATGACTGATCTCGCGGCAATTGCAAAGAAAAATGCCGCGAGACCAGGCAAAAGTGTGGTTCCAACTTTGTGCAGCCTAGGTTATTACAACGTATGTATCCGGTAAAAACACGTTTGAGAGATTTAGATTGAATATCGAGTAGGGGAGACCAGGGAAATTGTAACACTCTGACTTCTTGCATTTAATGAAATATTTTAGTCTTGTTCTTTTAAGTGAAAATATCTCAATTTTATCAGAAAACGATTTCTAACCAGCATGCATCACGTTTAGTCAGCGCTGCGCAGCGCCGCATGAAGTCAAAGGCACCTACTGTTTCGATATCAAAAGGGACCAGTAGATGCCACCGTGGAGACGGGTGTCGGAGTCCATGGTCGGAGTGTTTCAAAGCCACGACACAATTGCTTTGAATGTTTCAATTTGTCAGTGGCGGTCAAACTATTCAATAATAATGCTAAAACCAAATCACTGGTGTCCTGCCCTAAAGTCTAACTTGTAGCCAACTTCCACAACCAGCTAGGAGCATTTACAGACACAGTGAGTGTGAGGGCTTGCTGTGTGTGAGTGTGAGGGCTTGCTGTGTGTGTGTGTGTTTGTGTGTGTGTGTGTGTGTGCGCCCAGTGTTGGGGGGAGGGCTGCTTCCCAGTTTCCTCTCCGGGGATGATGTAGAGAGCTAGGAGCTGTGCAGGGCATGCAGCCATAGCCATAGCTTAGCTTAGCTTTCTCCCAAAAAGTCAACAAGTCGCCGCTGGCTCGCCCCTTGCAGCCGAGAGGAAGCAGGAGAAACCTCAGAGCCGCTTAGTGTAACAGAAGAGGGTCGACAGCTGTCGGGAAAAAACAGACTTTATTCCAATGGGCGATTTAAACTCTCTTTGTGTCCTTTCAGCCCTTTTGACTTTAGAGCTGCTGACGCTTTCTAACGGGACAGTGTCGAGTAAGTTGTGCCAACTGGGAGCTAGTTATAGATGTCATGTTTTCTTTCCTGCCGAGATTGAAAAGCTCGATTAGATTTAACTTAGGAACAAAAGATGGCTTGTTTTGGTATATTTATGTAGCCTTCTGAGGGATGATAAGGTAACTTTAAGCAACACAGTGATGTTTTTTTAAGTTAAGACGTGACTGGAAATTCTGTTTTTAATGGCAAATTCATGTTTTTAAACTGCTTTGAATAGGGACAAATGATTAAGTGAGAGTCTGTGAATGCCAGTGGAAAATCATGAACATTGCTATGTGGTGTAAGGTGTGTCTGATCATTAGTAGCCTAAGCATTGTGACCTTTTGTAGGCAATATTTTAAGCCTCATCACACTCTGTATTGTCTGATAAAATTCCCGATCACTTTTGTTGGTTAGTTAGTTATATTAGATGGGAATGGGCTGGGTAGAATGTGACGCATTTCACAGAAATATAGGTATTGCTGAAATGTCCAGCACAAAGAAGGGTGGGCAGCAAGTGCAGACTTTCCTAAGGGGAGGGTATTTCCTTCCTGAGCGTTTTCCTGTTACCTCCCGAGACACAGATTTTGTTCCACACTGTTTCACAACAGCGCTGGATATTAAAAAACAATGTGTTAAGATAATGAAACTGAATAAACTTGGTCTGGAATAAAATTTATCGCCCTCAATCATTCCACAGGTGCCGAGCAAGAATGCCCTATTGAAATAACTCCAGACAGGATGGTGATACAATACCAAAGCAGAGACCAGAATGCAACATGCAAGTCAACATCCACCGGCTCCAAAAATCTACAAGAAATATACTGGCAGGGTCGGCCAGATGTCAAAAGCAAAATTTGGCTTGTTGACACCAATAAAGGCTGGGACGTAAGGCCTCTTTGTATTGCAAATTTTACGGGAATAGGACAGTGCCAGAAAAATTTAAACATCACTCTTTACAGTATGTATTGCTAACTTCTTTTTACTTTAACTGTCATTAACTTTAAACGTGTTTCTGAAATATCGGAACTATCCTGAATATTTCTCTCACCACATAAAATCACCTCCCCAGAAACTCCAGACAGTGTCTCCATCCATCGTGTGGATAACGTGAGCTCAGTGGTGGTGGAGGAGAGAGAGCTCCAGCTGCAGTGTGACATTACCAACGTTGCTCCTGCACAACACCTCACTGTGCTGTGGTACCAAGGGAATGAAACCTTCAAACCACTTGTCACAGGTGGGGAAACTTTCTTTACATTTTCTGAGGCCAAGGACATCGAGCAGTGCTAGTCAATCTTGTAGATTCATGGTCTGTAGAAAGTTATTTTCATAAGTACTGTGGACTGTGAAGGAAGTTTGTTGAAGTGATAATGTTTTTCTCGCCGGCCTGATGTGTCACAACCAGCTTATCTATTATTCTAGTGCGTAAGTGTTTGACTCCTTTCAAGATACTCTAAAAACAAGGAAATAACTTCTTTGGTTTGTATTTTTGAAGCAGACAGGTCTGTCCTCATCAACATAAATGCTTTACATCATGGTATAAAATAAAGGGAACTGCCAAAAGGTCGGGCACACACGTTCACTGTAACAGGTTTTAGTGTTTATTTTCTTAAGAATCCAGCATTGTGTAAAATTCAACTCAAGACATCAGTTTATGTTGACAGCAGAGAGAGAAATACACATATGTTGACAAACCAAAAGAGTCATGCTTGACTGTCATTATCTTTAAATTGTTAAAATTGAATTTCTAAGGCAAAATATTTGGATCTACTTTTTGTCGTTTTCTTACTTTGTATTTCTCCCAAAATATTCCATTTGTCCACCAGGTCCAATGAAAGTGACTAGCTGCCCGCCTGAGAACAGCACAAACTGTAACGTGAATGTGATCCGATCCCCGGTAAATGTGTCGTCTACCATTAGCATCTCTCTGAACAGAAAGCATAAGGGAGCGGAGTTGAGATGTGAGGCTCATTTGGACCTCGGACCTGAGGGACCACAGCCTCCTCCAAACATGATGTCCAGCCCTCTCAACATCACTGTCTACTGTGAGATCACACTTGCATTTGCTGCTCACTAGTAACGATTAATGCAACACTGTAAGATCAAGTCATGGTGGACATCGATTAATCGATTAGTTGTTTTGGTCTGGTGGAAAAATGTTGATGAATGTTTCAAAAAGCCCAAGACGACATCCTCAAATGTCTTGTTTTGTTAACAACCCAAAGATATTCACTTTACTATCATATAGGAGTAAAAAATATTCACATGTAAGAAGCTGGAATAGGAGAATTTTGAAAAACTACTCAAATCCATTAATCCATTTTAAAAATAGTTGGCAATAGTTGACAACTAATTGATTAATCACTTAAGCTCTAGAATTAGGGGCTTCACAAGTGTAGTTATACTAAAGGTACTGTAAATCTTTTGGGGTCACAGTCTTTGAATAGTCTTTGACCTCACTCTGCTCTATTTGCCATTATTTGACAACAGATAAGCCCGTCATCAATACCACAAAGCTTCCAAAGACAATCCCAGTGTTCAGAGGTTATCCAGAGGAGCTCGTTTGTGAATCCGAGGGTCACCCACCTCCAAAGATCCAGTGGCACTACAGCTCAGACAAACAGCCCCATGTGACTGGAGACACACTCATTGTGTCCGAAGCAGGCCTCTACAACTGCAGCGCCACCAATGACGTTGGTTCCGTCTCCCGTGAGGTCGAAGTGATTTTAAAAGGTAACGACACTCTTAATCTAAACTGCATTTTGTAATTTTTAGAAGGGAAAAAGTGCACGTCTTCTTATAAAAATGTATTATAGATCTTTTTCCTGAAAATTTAAAGTCCCCGATTTGTGAAACCAGGGCCGGTATTTATCAAACTTCTCAAAGTGCCATTTTAGTCTAAAGTGCTGAGAATTCATGAAATTTACTCCAACTTTCAAACTTAAGTATAAAAGCAAGTCATCAAATTTCTTAAAGCTAAGGATCACTCTTACTCTCCCAGTTAATTAAGACAGCTAGAGAGGTCTGTCAAGTGGTTAGGAGTTGCAAGTAGGGTCTTGTGATGGCACTGTGGAGACAGAGACATGCGCAAATCTATCAGGAGAGCAAGAATGTTTCTGAATTATTTGACGATGCGCAGTTCATAGGACAGGGTCGGACGCGCAGGCGGCATCTTTATTAGTGAGTTGGTGAGGGACGTCGTCTCAGTACTGACAGTAATGCGTTTTCAGCTAAAGTGACAGTGGTGATGACACTCCGTTTCTTTGCCACAGGACAAATGTAGCAATGTTGATGATTTGGGGCCATCACAACCATCATTAAGCCGAATTGTCATGGAAACAGTTATGGCACTTACAGCTTTACTCATTGTCAGGCGTTTCATCGACTTCCCAACAACACGCCCCATAATCTAACAGAAGCAAACACAATTCATGCGAACAGCCGGCTTGCCAGGAGTAGTAGGTGCTATTGAAGGCGCTCATATAAAGATAAACTTTTTTATCTTTCATTTATTATTGTGTATATCATAATGTATTATCTTGAAAATTCCTCATTACAGGTGAAACTCGAAAAATTAGCATATCGTGCAAAAGTTCATTTATTTCAGTAATTCAACTTAAAAGGTGAAACTAATATATAGACTCATTACATGCAAAGTGAGATATTTCAAGCCTTTATTTGATATAATTTAGATGATTATTGCGTACAGCTTATGAAAACCCCAAATTGAAAATCTCAGAAAATTAGAATATTACATGAAATCAATAAAAAAAAGGATTTTAAATACAGAAATGTCAGCCTTCTGGAAAGTATAATCATGCATATGTGCTCAGTACTTGGTTTGGGCCCCTTTTGCAAGAATTACTGCCTCAATGCGGCGTGGCATGGATGCTATTAGCCTGTGGCACTGTTGAGGACCAGGATGCTTCAATAGCGGCCTTCTGCTCTTCTGCATTGTTCGGTCTCATGTCTTTCATTTTTCTCATGGCAATGCCCCATAGATTCTCTATGGGGTTCAGGTCAGGCGAGTTTGCTGGCCAATCAAGCACAGTAATCCCATGGTCATTGAACCAGGTTTTGGTAGTTTTGGCAGTGTGGGCAGGTGCCAAGTCCTGCTGGAAAATGAAGTCAGCATCTCCATAAAGCTCATCTGCTGAAGGCAGTGCTCTAAAATGTCCTGGTAGACCAGCAGATGACATGGCTCCCCAAACCAACACAGACTGGAAACTTCATACTGGACTTCAAGCATCTTGGATTGTGTGCCTCTCCATTCTTCCTCCAGACTCTGGGACCTTGGTTTCCAAATGAGATGCAAAATTTGCTCTCATCACAAAAGAGGACTTTGGACCATTGAGAAACAGACCAGTTCTTTTTTTCTTTAGCCCAGGTAAGACGCTTCTGATGTTGTTTGTTGTTCAGGAGCGGCTTGACAAGAGGAATATGACATTTGAAGTCCATGTCCAGGACCCGTCTGTGTGGCTCTTGATGCAGTAACTCCAGCCTCAGTCCACTCCTTGTGAAGCTCCCCCACACATTTGAATGGCCTTTACCTGACAATCCTCTCCAGGCTACGGACATCCCTGCTGCTTGTGCACCTTTTACTTCCACACGTTTCCCTTCCACTTAACTTTCTATTAATGTGCCTTGATACAGCACTTTGAGAACATCCAACTTCTTTTGCAATTACCTTTTGAGGCTTTCCCTCCCTGTGGAGGGTGTCAATGATGGTTTTCTGCACAACTGTCAGGTCAGCAGTCCTCTCCATGAGTGTGAATTCCACTGAACCAGACTGAGAGACCAATTAAAGGCTCAGGAACCATTTGCAGGTGTTTTGGATTAATTAGCTGATTAGAGTGTGACACTTTGAGCCTATAATACGGAACCTTTTCACAATATTCTAATTTTCTGAGATTTTGAATTTGGGGTTTTCATAAGCTGTACGCAATAATCATCAAAATTATATCAGATAAAGGCTTGAAATATCTCACTTTGCATGTAATGAGTCTATTTAATATATTAGTTTCACCTTTTAAGTTGAATTACTGAAATAAATGAACTTTTGCACGATATGCTAATTTTTCGAGTTTCACCTGTATATTAAATGTGTGTTGAATATAAACTCCTCTTAGGAATTTCACCATTCAATGTGAATTTATATGAGAATATTCTTAAATAAGGAAATCTATTCAGTTATTGGTCCTTGCCTACGTCATCATCCAAATCCTGTTTGCAGCACAGCAAAGTGTCGTAAATCAGCACTAAGACTGACACTTAAGATTTTATCCTACATTTCACTCAAATTAGGACCATGATGCTTGATAACTAACTTTTAAGCACAGCTTTGAGCCAAGAATTTTTTTTTAACTCTTAAGTCAGTTTTTAGCAGTGTTCTTATGAGTAAATCTGAGAAGATTGATAAATACGGGCCCAGATCTCTGGCAGAAGGGGTTGAAGCCATTAAATATACTCTTATCCCATATGTACAATTTAATTTCCATGTGTTTCTGTTACTCAAAACTTTAGCAAAGCTGCAAATTATTATTTATTTATTTCCCCCCACAATTTCTCTGTGTGACTGTAATCTAGAACCTTTTATTCAGAGCAAGGTTGTACCAGTGCATATTAAATCAACAGAAAAAGCGAGAGCTGTGTAGATATAATCGTGCTCAGGACAGTGTACATTTATGCATTTTATATTTTATGTGTATAAGTAGAAATTAACCTCACGTAGCAGAGCAAAAGCCAAAAAGCTTCATGAAGGATTCTATCCAGCCATATACAGTACATTTATATCAAAATGGAGCCGTGTGATTTCTCTGAGCGGTATCGTACAATGCTGTTTTAGACAGAAACTAAAAGGCAGAAGGCTGGTGCAATGGTCGGAGATTTGTATATAATATGAACACAGTGACTTGTTTTCTGTTGTCAGATGTTATAACATGAGGGGCTTCCAGTTTTCACAATAATCATACAAATACAATTAGCCTATCTTTTTGTTGGAGGATAGGTCGTATGTTAAAATTGTAAGTAGATACCTAGCAACCTTCTCATAATTTTTTATTTCTGCATCCATATACTTTAGTAAAGTGCATCTTCATTGATCCTGCACTTGTGTTTATAGCAGTGTGTTTTGAAATTCTTAAACATTAATATGTTGCGTTGGATTGTTTTCATTACAGAGGACTACCTTCCCCTCATAGCTGGATTTGTGGCTGTCACAGTAGTTGCCATCTCCATCATTTTCGTCTTCATCTACTCGATCTACTACAAGAACACCAGGATGCGCCACTACAGTCTTAAAAACCCCAAACTCAACACCAACAATGCCAACGTAGCTCACAACGGCTGGGACATGCAGTTTCCTATGACCAAACTGTCTTAGCAGTGTATCTGTTGATAGCACAGAATGGAGAGCTGACCACTCTGAACGAGCTGCATCTCTTATGCCAACAGAAACTACATTGTTTGAAAAGTCTGAGTGCCACTCCGCCAGCAGGCTCTCATTGTTTGTTCGGAAATCCCTTCCTCCAAACTTCACACGCACTGTTATCCTTGCATCTATTTTCCCACACATAATAGTATTTTACCCAGCGTGGAATAATCAAATAATGAAAATGAGCAACTTTGGCATGAGATGTACGTTTTTATATTTACTACTGGATTTTACCTGTTTTCACTGGACACTGGACTCAAAATTTGGTTCTGACCCGCCAGATCAACCTTTTTGATTTTTTTACAAGCACAAAGGGAGTTTGATATGATTATGAATGTTTTTTTATTGACCTTGAGTTTACCAGTGCTTGCCCCCTTAATTTTCACTCAAACTACAAATGTGTGTATGTAATTATTTTACAAACCAAACATGATTTTACCATGCATTAAATTTAAAAGTGGTGACCCTGAGGCTGCTGTGGTTTTAACAGTCACACTAACAGGAAATGTGCCACTTCTTATTGGCCTCTGAAGGTGTGACACTGCGGCACTGTGAAAAAGGAGAGCAGCTTTGCTCAGTTTGTGGACACTATTGCTTGTGCACGCTTTCCATTGAGCCCATTGTCGCTTCAATATTCTTTGTAAGCCACTCGTGCACTTACAGCCTTCTCTGTGCCTTGCCCTTTGTTGTGCCATACTTTGTCAGGCTCCGGCCTTATGGGACAAATTATCTTGTTCCACAGTTATATGCTTTTGTATGAGTGACTGCAGGCATTATTGCCTAATGCCTATCAGAACTGTATATTCGGGATAATATTTTATGTAAAAGCAAAGCCTTATATTTATTTATGAAACAGTAAAGATGGAACAGTTTAGGGTTGAAAATGGACTGCAGACAGGTATGTAAACATTACAAATGTTGGAAAAGATAATGAGGTTGAAGTCCTACCTGGATATAAGAACATTAGGATATGTTACACATTTGTGAATACAGCTGTAAATATTTGACTGGTGTAAAACTGTATTTTAATATTAAAAATATTCATTGTTGTTGAAATCTTACAGGCCCGACTATGTCTATGGTACGTAAATATATATATATTTATATAACAGAAGCTGCTAGTTCTTGCCTGGTAAATTCACCTTAGATCGCAACTGTGACCCAAACTTTGAATTTCTGTCTTTTTGGAAGGAACAGAGGACTAAAGAAGTTATAGATATGGTATGTAAATTGTTATAGTTCTATAAATATAGGCCTATAGGCTTTTCTTTACAATGACTAACAATCTTTTCATAATAGCATATAATATTTATTTTTCGTAAATATCTAATCCTTTGCACACGAACACAAACACAAAATGAATGACAAATGCTTTCAGTTTCGTTATAACACAATTTTCCTCCACATCAATCCAAAACTGGGAGCTCGATTTGGCTGTGAGGGTGTGGCGGGTGTATAGTGTCAGAGCGAGGATTACCAGCAGAAGGAGAAGGAGCAGTCTACCCTGCCGTTATGGCGGGTGTATAGTGTCAGAGCGAGGATTACCAGGAGTATGGCGGGTGGATAGTGCCACGGATAACCTACCAAAGGAGACGGTCGTGTGACAGCTACATGTGTGGATAGGCTACTCCGTCGCCAGTGCACAACCTCGTTGATAAGCCCGTCGCCGTCGGGCTTGTTTTTTTTTTTTTCTCAAACTTCTTCTTTTTTCTCTTTTTTATTGGTGGTTGGCAAAGCAAAAAAATGAATATTATTCAACATATAGCCAAGCTTTTTAAAGAAAATATTCAGATGGCATCTTAAACATTTTCATAAGAAATTGTGATTTAATTACATATTTTACCAGTCGGCCTAACTGTAACAGATAACACTTACATTTATTTTGTAATTAAATTATTTGACTAAATTGCATGTAAGTAGTTACTCCCCAACACTGCTTGTATGTTTGTCTACAGTTGAACATTAAATGGTGTTCTTCTTGGTATAGAATCATGGGAGCTTTATATTATGAGCATTAACAATAAGCTATACAGAGTGGGAAATTACGTTTGTATCATTGTATAATAGTATGCTGGTTTCTCTTAGTGTAGCATCCCGATGGAAAATTAAGAACTTCACTGAGGGTCTTAAGATTTTTAATTTGCTGTCTTGTAACAATGTAACTGCTAAAAAAAAGTGCAGACATAAGGCAACATAGTATGTTATAACTCCTTTAGGATTACACTGATTAGTAACACATTAGCATGATCAAACTAATCCAAATCATTATGCAGCAATATACATTTAAAATATATTGTTGCCAATAAAATAACCAAAGGCAAATGCCCATAACAAATAATAATAATAATTGTTGGAGCCATTCTGTGTATAGCCATGGGTTGGCGCTGTGTGCAGCCACAAGTCTACTTAAGACATTGGGTAATTAGTGCAGGTGTGGCGCACTGCGAGGTGCATGGTTTTTGACCGTGAGGCACGGCGTGTAATTATGGAGACTGACTTGAGTTAAGTTATTATTGAATAAATGTTTTATTTTTCGTTATATTAATAAATGGATTGGCATATCCGGCGTTAAGTTCAGACTTTTTAAAATTTATTATTTTATTTTATTTTATTATTTTAAGCCACAAGGAAACAGCACGCCCGAAACACGTGTGCAAAACGACTTAAATGTGCGCCAACAATAATAATAGAAACTGATAAGCATGAAACAGCTCTAATACTTCAGTGATTAATAGCTGTAGGCCTAATACAACCATTTTCACATTGTGGGGAAGTGAAAGCATTATATTCTTCAGTGGAATTTTATAGGACAGTGAATCCAAACAATAAAGCACAACACAGGCTATGAACTGTAGGATACTCCAGAGTTCCCATTCACCACAAGAATAAAAGCATTTAACACAGGCTGTACAAAGCATGACTTGAATTCACTCAATAAAGTTAAAATAGGAGTTACACTGACAATGGTGTACTGGTGGCTACGTACCTAGTGATGACGTGTGTATCACATGGTTGTAAGGCGACGTAACTAGTTCAGATGTATTTAGTAGGCATATATTTATACAGGAATTCGAACATGCGCCGCCATGATGTCGCCGCTGGAAGACGTCGCCGCCGGAAGACGTTGATTCCATACACTCGCCGCCAAGTCGCCGCCGGTCTCCCGTCTGCCGTCCCAATCGCTCCCATTCAAAAATCCACACGGTCTGGCAGCGACGGCAGGGTAGACTGCTCCTTCTCCTTGTAATCCTCGCTCTGGCACTATCCACCCGCCATATAGCTGTCACACGACGGTCTCCTTTGGTAGGTTATCCGTGGCACTATCCACCCGCCATACTGAGGGTGACTCCGACCAGAGTTCACTCCTTGTCGGAGTGGAAGTGGCGCGGATCTAGTTTCGGAAAGGCCCTCTGGGTGTATCACAGTGATTAAATGGGACTAGAGGTGTGTTTAACGAGGAACACGTAAATGCATCATCAGATATTTTTCCTTTCGGGACTTTCTATGAGCTCACCTGGTGGAAGTTACGGCACAAAGCGAGGAGGGACACGGTTGTCAACTGGACCATTTTTATATTTTCAATTAGTAAAAGTGTTGGCACACCGGCGAAATCAGCATGTTGTTCTTCATATTCAGCGCCTTAATAGCGTGTACAGGTAGGCTAACTAATTTATGTGTTCTTTAGCTTTAATTGTGGTGCTACATTCAAGGTAAGAGTTACTTCCGTTATTGTGTCTGGATAGTCTGTATCTTACAGCTGCGACCTACGCCCATTGTTTAATTAACATTAGTCTGCTTAAAATTCATGCTCCCAATGATCATATTGTGGGATCAAATTTGAACCACCACATGTTTTGGTAGATTAATGGTAGACCGATAATCTGCAAGTTGCCATAACTTTTATAATGTGTAAACTTTAGTAAGTCGATCGTTACCTCAAATCCCACTTTTGGACAAAAGGGCAGCAACACACAAGGCATGGATTTGAGTGTAACAAAAATATCTACTTGTTTCTTACAGTGCGTTTATGCAAATTGTTAGGCCTACTGTATTTTGTCAAACACTTTATTCAAACCTTTTCAAGCACCATAAAGATAAGGACCCGACATATTTTCACTGGAAATACAGTTTTATGGTTAAAAAACATATATTTTGGTTTGTTTTATATCTGTGAGATCGTTTAACTAACAAGTCAGTGGGGTAGGCCTACTGCTATTCCAGATTATCCAAAACAATGCTGTATAATGCTGGGTAATACACTGATTTGTACATGGCCACTATTTGTACTTTGTGTATTACTTCTAGGAAAGCATGTGAGTTCCTCCTGTCTTGAGATGAGCCCTCCTAGAGTTGTAGTGAGATTTGGAGACTCGTTCTCAGTCAAATGCAGCTCAAAAATCAAGGCAAGCGGAATGGGCTGGGAGTCTTCAAACGGAGGCATACCGCTGAGAGAGAATGCCACTTTTCTTACCTTAAAGGCAACCGCTGTGAAAGAATGGGACTTAAATCCAATATGCTTTATCAATCCCTTTGGCAGTGACAATACACAGTGTTTAGAAAGACTACCACTCACCATTTACAGTAAGTAGCCCTTAACTTTATCTGAAGTTGACAAGTAAGCCCGTTGTAGTTTTTGATCATTCAATACTACTGATGTTTGGACTTGTCACTTTTTTACACAGAAATGCCGGACAGTGTGTCGATGTCTCACCTGAGTCAAATGGTCCCAATGGTAGAAGGTCAAACTTACCGCATGCAGTGTGACATTGTTAATGTTGCACCTGTAAGAAACCTTTCTGTGAACTGGCACAAAGGAAATAAGGTATTCTATACTCAGACATTTGACGAGTCCCATCAAACTCCAGTCAATATGACATCAGTCTACAATCTGACCGCCCATAGAGATGATAATGGTGCTCAGATCTGGTGTGAAGCAAAGCTGAAATTTGAGCCAACAGCACCAAATCCTCCCGCAATCCAATCAAATTCACATGAAATGAATGTACAGTGTAAGTTTTGGCATCTTATTATTAATTATTTTGTAAGAGAACATTGGGTGTGTTTTGACTTTCTCTGATTGTATTTTACTTTCTATTTTGTCTTTTTCTCTCTATCTTTATTTTTAATTTCTTTTTGACTTCAGACCCACCAACCTTCACTGGGCCTGCAAATGAGACGCTGGAACTTCCAGATCGTAGTAAAATGATTTTAAATTGCACTGCCAGAGGAAACCCAATGCCAGCATACAGTTGGCATGTTCCACATCCAATACAACAGTCGAAGGAGGACCAAAATGAGAATCAACCTATTTTGACCCTGTCCATTCAGCTTCCAGGGACCTATAACTGTACAGTGGCTAATATCCGGGGCACCAAGACCAAATATTTCACTGTCATCAAAGCTACAAGTAAGATATTGTTACTAAAGTAATTATGTTTCTGAGCCTATTCTAATCCATTATTGTCTTGCAGTGTTAAATATTCTATAATTTCTTAATGCTGGTTTCCAGATAGACACCCTGGGATCACAGCTTTTTCACTGGATTTGAATGGATGTATTGTTTGTTTTAATTTTTACTTTGGAATGTATGGTCTGAACAAATGAGCTGAGAAAGAGAATGTAACTCTCCCATCTCCAACAGGGGATCAAACAACTTTTGCAGCCTTGGTTGGAGTATTTGCGGCCCTGGGAGTCCTGCTCCTCATTGGCGGGGCTTTTTTTGTGACACCTGAAGGCACATTTTCCTTCAGCAGAGGCGGCTATCTCAGAGGACATCCTGCCTCATCAGGACCTGTATGAAGCTGACTTTTTTTAATTCAATTTTGCATGGCTTTACAATGAAAGTGGTGCTTTTTAATATTTTTGTGCTTGGAGAGTCCGCTGACTCATGCTTGGCCACTGCAGCTTTAAAATTACGTAATCCCGGCAACTGCCTTTTAAAGCTCAACTAATCAACATTGTTATATTAACAAACGGTACATTTACATGCACTCATGAAATCAGGTTACTTAGAGTAACCTAGTTACTGCAAATCTGCATGCAGCAGGTTGGTGATAAGATTTTTCCCCCACGCCTGATGTTATTTTGGAAGCATGAGTCACTTATTTCAAATGTTGAGGTAATGTAGGAGCAGACTAACAGCACGATGAGAGGACAGACAGAGCCCAGATTTTCTCCAGTTTTATGTCCTGTACATTTACTGTATGGTTCACTCTGTCGCTCTCGTCAACTTTGTATCCACCGCCAGCGGCAAGTTATTTCCAGCAATAACAAAAAAACCTTAAACCCTCTGTATGCTATCTGTCCAACAATGCCATTTGAACATAGCAAAGACAGATTTTTTTAAAGAATTGGTGTGATCATGGACTGTATGGTGGAGACTAAAAAGATCTGAAAAAATAATATCTATTGGACACATTAGATGTAAGACATTTATAGGGCAATGATAAGCAGTAGGTTTGTCAGGGTGTAGATTTTTTTTGTGCCGCCATGTGGCCAGAAACTTAATTTGGGTATGTATGCCTGTCGTCACTCAGTACTGTTCTGGGAAAATCCTATTTTTATTATAAGTCACAGGAGAGGTATGACTGGGAGCAACTTAATGGTACTGATTCAACAGTCATTGTTACTTTATTGCTAGCATGACTGCCTTGTTATTCTTTTTTCATTTTACAAGCAACACAAGAGGTCTTTGTACGAGACCAATTTTAAGGAAAAAATTTAGTTGCTCCTCATGATGTTTTCATGCACTCAGGATTGTTTTGTGTCTATTTTGTACTCCATACAGCACAGTCCAGCTAGAGTAAATACTTGAGCGTGATCTGAATACTCCAATGGGGCACATTGTTGATAGTGAGTTTTTTTATAGTTATTATACATTTCATTTTTGTATGTGCATAAATTATGCTAATGTCATGTTCTGTAAAATAATATTTACCAAATATTGTTTTGTGTGTATGCACTGATATGACTCTTGAATGTTTTTGCACTGAAAAGATGAACCATGCCATTTTTATGGTGTGCCCACAATTTCATTTGATGAAAGTTTGTTGCTTTATTGAAATGACCCAAATATGAGCCACTAAATCCTGTGTGAGACATACAATCTGTCTGAAGTACAAAATGCTGATTTCCATTTGTAAACCTTTGTTACTGAATGAAATGAAAAGTAAGTGAAATGAAAGTTTAAATTGAGAGATGTTATTTTCAAGGGAATATTGTTTAAAATGTTCTGTAAATGCATTGTGTGCATGAACAGGTTTTGCATATACATCAACATCACTTGCTAAATTAAACCAACATCTCTGTCCTTTTGCAGAATAATGATTGAGGCAAAGTCAAACCAGTGTCTTTCATCAATATGTTTCACTGCCATCTTTTGTCAACCCCCCAGACCCCCTTTCAATCTGGCTTACATTATACACTGCTGAGACTGCCATACTAATTAGTAGTGTACAAAGAGAACGTAAAGGAGAGCATTTGTTGTCCTGTCTACGGTTGCCAAGATAAATCTATTTTTTCTGAACCCATGTGACCATGTTCTTTATGTTCAGTCCCTGTCATTCTCACTAAAGGTCTTGCCAGAAAGCACTGTTTGTGTATGCTCTGACTGTGTTGCTATAACAACCTGGCAGAGTGGATATTGCTCAATTTGTCAGGGAGTTTAAAAAAAAAAGTTTTATTATAGACACACAAACTTAACACATTTCTCTAGAGAACTTGAAGAACAAGCAGCATATTCAAAGTGAAGTGAGCATGAACTCTTAATCTGTGCATTGAGATTCCCAGCTATGCGCTCTATAAATACACCAAAAAGCATCCAATTACTTTCTCACTTGCACTGCAGTAGCGGTGAGAGCGGATATGCTGTGTAGCATTCTGGTCACAGTGCAAGTCTTACAAGCTACATGCTGCACCACACCAACACTCCTGCCTGCTGGGAATTCTCAAAGCATGGTGCTCAGAAGCAACAGGGGACAAGCATGCAGGCAGGACTGAAAACGGGCTTTTGTTCACAGCCAGTCACGTTTTGACAGCAAGAGGAGATAAAATAGTTGGTTTGACAGCATAACATGACTGCACCTAAGGCTGGAATGCAGACATAAATGTATGTAGACAACATGAAACCCTTGACTCAATATAACAAACAAGTTCAGATATATGTTCAGCTTATAGAAGAAGGGAAAGTTTGGACTACAAAAATAGGCTAGTTTAATGATTTGAACTTTACCACAATTATTATAAATGTATTGGAATACTTCAAAAGAGACAACTTTGTATTTTGCTCTGCACTATAATGAACCAGATATTGAAAACGTATGTATTAATCTTATTTCCTAACCACAATATTATTTGCACACTAGTACTGTGGTATTGTATGTTTACATAAATGCTAGTTAGACATTTGCTGTGGTATCTGTAGGACTATAATTGTTGCTAAAAATGCTTAATAGCCTATATAAGATCAGTCCGGCACAAAGGCTTGTTTCTCTTTAGAGGCATACCACCTGTTAAATTTCCCTCTTTCCCTTTTACCCCCCACCCACAAAGTCAGCTGGGATGAAGGGGGCCCTTTTGTTACAACATAGTTCCCTGCAGAGTAACCAAGCTTGTCCAAGTTGGAATTTTCTTTCTCTCGGCCCTCAACGACAGCTCAGTAAATAACATGGGGAACAACTTTCTTCAATGGATTCTGACGCTTTGCATGTTTTACTCAGGTAAGACGTTGTAGGCAACATGCTGTGCTCGCACTTATTTTTAAAGATGAGGTTTTGTGCAATAGTTTTCTCATGGGAATAGCGGTGTAGTGATAAATGAAAGCGTAGGCAAACTGTAGTCGGCGGTAGTATGCATAAACATAAATATATTACGTATTCCTAGATGATGTTTGGTGCAGTAAGTGTCTTGTAAATATCGTGCTTTAGTGATAAACGGAAGCGTAAGTTAGGTTACCGTAATTATGACCTCCAGTCGGTGATAAAATGAACATGATAAGGACCATCAGTGCATCAACAAGCGTTTGTTTATTTTTCCAGTAAAAGACAGTCCTCGTGGAATTAGACCATGTGTACCTATTTTAGATCTTTGTAGCCTAAAATATACCTATTTGTGTTTAGGTAACTACGCTACTTTCTGCAACTTTTTGTTTCTGCAACATTGTGACGGGCTATCTGTTAAGCTGTAGGTCTAATTCTGAATAGGCCAACATTTTGTTGCTATAGCATAGAAATAAATAATTTAAAAGATATCTATCAATTCAATATTATACACAGAGTGTTTGGCGAATATTAGGCTATTCCTGATTTATTACTTGTGATTGTCCTGTGTGGGTTGTAACAGGGTTACATAGGCCTAATACCTGCAGCCTTCTTGCCTTTACTCTACTAAAGTGCTTTAAGTGGAAAGAAGGTTGTGGTGGTGTTGAAGCTGGCTATCATGATGGTGGGTGCTTCTGTATGTCTCAGTGTCAGGTGAAGGTTGCTCCCTAATCCTCAAGCCCTCCAGGGTGGTGGTGGGCTTTGGGGAGCCGGTGTCAGTCAGCTGTGAAGCCGCTCGCCCGGTACGTGTCCTGGGCTGGGAATCGGCCATCAGCGCTGCACACACTCAACAGGACCTGTCTGTCCAGTGGAAGGTGGACAGTCTCATTGATTGGATAGAGGAGCCTATCTGTTATGGTGTGTTCTTCACAGCTCCGAGACAGTGTGAGGAAAAACTCAACCTGGTTCTTTACAGTGAGTCAACTGTTGTTTTAATAGGCCTATACATGTGGAAACTTATTACTCACATAAACCGGTTTGAATGATGTGAACTTTGTGTATTATTTATTTAGAAACCCCGGATAGTGTCTCCATCAGGCCTGTGAACCACACTGGCCCCATGGTGGAAGGGAAAGAGTACCAGTTACTCTGCGAGGTTCAGAATATTGCTCCTGTTCAGTACCTCACTCTGAGGTGGTACAAAGGGCAGACTGAGGTTTATAACCACTCCTTCTCTGACCTCACATCTTCCTCGCCCGTTCAAGTGTCCTCTATCCTCCTGATCACACCAACCAAAGCTGAGAATGGAGCACAGTACAGGTGTGCAGCAGTGCTGGAGCTCGGTCCAGAGGGACCACATCCACCTCCTACTGTGACCTCGGAGCCTCTTAATGCCTCTGTGTACTGTAAGTCATGAAGGGTCCGTGTACGTTCTGATAGTTTGTTTTTTCGTTTGAACCAATAAACGAACAAACGAGAAAACCACCTTTTCTTCGTTTGTCCTTTCAAACCAAAAACGAAGAAACGGGGAAAAAAAGACTCGTTCTCCCGTTTTTGGTTTCTAAATCCAAAAACGAAAAACGACTAAACCAAATTCAAATAATAGTCCGATTTTGGTTTTATGAAATTCCTATTTTCATTTTACGTTTGAAGATAGGCCTAGACGTTAAGAAAAGAAGGACCGGTGAGCCAGGTGACCCGGAAGTAAGAGTATAGACATTAAAATAAAAGCCAAGAGCGGTCGGATCTGTAACATTATGCAGCACTAACGTTATACCAGGGTGATGCTAGGTGAAATTAAATAAATACACCTGGACCGAGAGAAATACGTTAGCAACAGCAGTTGATTGCATGCACTATAATATTGGGCATTTATTCATGTAAACATCAAGAGTCACGTTTTTTAAACACATTGTTTGGTGCAGTACAGTTGGTAGGCTAATATAGGTTAACCTAAGAAATGATTGTGTGTTTAGAGTTGTTACTGTCAGCGCTATATGTTTAATATTAAATAAATATTTAATGTGGTTTCCACCGTAATGAACCAAGCTGTTCCCCCTTTCTACCTGCAGGTGGCAGGATTTAAATGAAGGCCTGTACTGTGTCTTTATACTGTGTGAATCTTTCTCCTCCATACACATTCCAGTGTATATAACATATAACACTCCCATTGGGTCATGCAAGAAGAGAATCCATACAAGTCTTTCCGTACAACATTTATTCAACATATATAGCACATACATGCGTTCAAAGGCATTGAATGTACAATTTATGGCTGCAGAACCTTGACTGTGAAGCCATGAGGTGACAGTAACAACTCTAAACACACAATAATTTCTTAGGTTAACCTATATTAGCCTACCAACTGTACTGCACCAAACAATGTGTTTAAAAAACGTGACTCTTGCTGTTTACATGAATAAATGCCCAATATTATAGTGCATGCAATCAACTGCTGTTGCTAACGTATTTCTCTCGGTCCAGGTGTGATTATTTATTTATTTAATTTCACCTAACATCACCCTGGTATAACGTTAGTGCTGCATAATGTTACAGATCCGACCGCTCTTGGCTTTTATTTTAATGTCTATACTCTTACTTCCGGGTCACCTGGCTCACCGGTCCTTCTTTTCTTAACGTCTAGGCCTATCTTCAAACGTAAAATGAAAATAGGAATTTCATAAAACCAAAATCGGACTATTATTTGAATTTGGTTTAGTCGTTTTTCGTTTTTGGATTTAGAAACCAAAAAACGGGAGAACGAGTCTTTTTTTCCCGTTTCTTCGTTTTTGGTTTGAAAGGACAAACGAAAAAAAGGTGTTTTTCTCGTTTGTTCGTTTATTTGTTCAAACGAAAAAACAAACTATCAGAACGTACACGGACCCATGAGGCTATTTCCGGTCTTAAGAAGAGTTATATGGTTAGTAATACATTGAAGATGGTATATATAATCCTTCTGATCTTTTCTCTAGTCCCCCCAATGTTCCTCAGTCCTGAATCAGAAGTTTTGGACCTTATAGTGGGTTCTGAAATGACCTTGAACTGCACTGCCACAGGAAACCCAACACCTGTGTACAGCTGGCAATCCTCCCATGCCATTCTGGCAAGGATGGAGGAAGAAGCAGTTCTTACCTCGTCCTCGCTTCTCCCAGGGACCTACATCTGCACTGCCTCCAATACACTGGAGAAGAAGAGCAAGGAGTTTATTGTCAAGGCCAAGACCAAAGGTAGAGGGGAAAGTGCACATGTGCAAGTTGTCTCTTTATCCTGCGTCCTAATCAGCGTCTTCTTTTGCTTTCACTTAGGTATTTGAAACAAGAGATCTTGAGATGGGATCAGATGACCACATTGGACACACAAGGAGAATTAAACTAAGGGGATTTTACTGTTGCATCTTTGGAGACGGAAATGACAATGCATTCATGATTCAACAGATATTTATGAGAATCTTGGTATCAGGCAAAATTAGATCTCTCTTAAAGATCTGAATAAACTATGTTCGATAACTGTCATTTAATTTTTCACTATTTTCCCATTTAACGTGTTCTGTGAGATAGATCGGTGGTTTAGTATATAATACACTTTTTGTGCTTTCCATGTGATATCCTGTATCTAATTTATATTTTTCCTAGACTTATTTTCCTATTAATGAAATTATCTTGTAACATTACAATTGTGTAGCTATACTCTTGATAGCTATAGCAATGATGACTACATTATCATTAATGCATCAACTTTAATACTGAATGTTAAAGATCAGCAGGCCACTACTGTAAATATGAACATGTTTCTTGATTTGTGTATCTTTATGAATAAAAGTTAAAAAAATAACATTGTTTTTCATTTATTCATACTATACCTAGTATTATAAGATTATGTATTAGTACTAGCAGTAGCCTATGTTACTTGACAAGTTTTACAGTCACTTAACATAAGCATGAGAGCACAGCAACACAGTTGATTAAAAACTCCCTTTGACAAGTAATATTCAAAATAACTATTAATTTATGGCATTTATTTATTTTTTCCAGCCCACTTTCAGTAGAATTAGTCATTTGACTGACTGTGGTAAAATGTGTCTGGGTACACTGACCTTCGACCGCCAGATGTCGCTGTTGCACTTTTCCAAGGATGGTCACTTGTCACGTGACCAAAACAGTGCCTCGCAGCAGTCGCAGAAGGAAGTGACATTAGCGGCTAACGAAAATCGACCTTTCACTAAAGACCTCACCATAATACGTCCCTGCCAACCACCCAGATTGATAAAAGGTGGGAGTCAGTGCCTGATATTTATTTGCTTAAAACCAGTGGACAACTTCTGAATATCGTCCCTGTCTGTTCCCTTTTCAGGTAGCCCAACGTTAGGCTATGCCACAGAAAGATCCGTGTCAAAAACAAGCATGTGCTATTCAGACGTGTTTGCAAGGTACTTAAAAGTCACCTGAATGGCAGTAAAGCAGATCTGATATTGTCTTTCAGCTAACTCCGTCCCTTTCCTGCAGCTAACAAATACAAAGAGAGCATGTGTGAGGACGTGATCAGGGAGATGCGGCGGTGCTGTGAGACGCAGGCTGGAAAGTCCATCTGCTGCTCCGGATTCAAGGACTCAAAGCCCACCAAGAGCACAAGTAACACTTAGCTCCGTGTGGGATCCTTTTGATGGACATTTTGATAGAAACACTGTGGCAATGTTTTATTGACTGTGTAATATTCTTTGCAAGTATCATGAGCCCTGGAGCTGACATACCATCTCCAGTGTTAACTATATTTTTAATTACTCCAGGGTTTGACAACTCAAAATGTCACTCTGGTCACATCATAAAGTTGAATAAGCTGTCAGATGTAGTATTTATTAAAGTTCGAATGAATTATTTTCTAAGGCGTTTCACATTATTGTATCCACACCCTGTTAACAAGTATGAGACACAAGTTTGTGCATGTCAGCACTGAGCAGTTATACTGCATATGTGACTTGTTAAAGGCCCTGCACACCTCAGGTGATTTAAATGTGTTTTGGCTGATCAGACTCATACACTGTTTATACTCAGGACTGTGTATGTGTGTACAAACTGTGCTTGAGTGACATTTCCCTGACTGAGCCCGGTTTGTATCACTGTATAATATTCAATTAATATTCAATAGCAAAGACATTTCACGTTTTTCTGACATACTCTAAATATACATTTACGTATTTGTGTAACAGACACAGTATGAACAGTTTTTACTATTGCACCCTGGAGTAGGCTAAATCAATGGCAAATACCTTGTAGAGAAAATACCATTTTTTTCTCCAACATAAATGTATCCATGTGCGACAAATTTATTTGGATTTAGGTCGATATTTACCATGAACTAACAAATTAGTTTTGTCAGTGTGCCATCTTTTTTGGCTAAAGAATGAACAATCCATTACAATAAAAAGAGAAAAAATTTCCCGAATTGCTCCCCGGGCGCCGTACGATGGCAGCCCACTGCTCCTAAATAGGATGGGTTAAATGCAGAGAACTAATGTCCCCTTCCCCTTTAAAGAATTTCCCCTCGGGGATCAATAAAGTATTTCTGATTCTGAAAATGTTTTCTTTACAGCAGTTGAAGGGGAAATCTTTTTTTGAGATTAGTGATTTATTTATTATATTGCATTGCTACAGAAGCAAAGCATATTAACTTATGCCAGGGAGGTTTTGGAAAACTCACACGTAAAAGTGAAATGAGTAACGTTATAGGCCTAACTGGAAAAATAGTCCTTATAGGATGTGTGAAGACTACACCGCGCCTGGGCTACACATGCTAATTCTGAAATACATGAATGAATAGAAAAAATCCATTATATATATATAAATATTGACACCATTTTCAAATATAGATGTTTACTTATGTTTAATTAATTTATGAATGTGAAAAATAACTTGATAAACGACAAAGCTCTTCTTACAGGCTTCCGGCGCCGTACGTCAGTGTGACGGAATGACGTACTGACGTCAAACGGAAATTTGCAGCAGCTATTCTTTCTAGAAGCCTGTAGCAGTTTCGGGCTAGCCCGCACTGGGTAGGTTTGTCAGATTTATCTTGGCTAAACACAGCCAGCTGCTGCATTGAGCACAATTACACATTTCTGAAAAGTGCGTTCTTGTGTTATATGCGTTTTTGCCTGAAGAGTCGGATTAGTTGCGTTTAGCTCACTAACTTAGCCGAGTCATATCCCAAGCTAACGCTGTTTGCGTTAGGTTAGGTTCTTGCTGGCATCATGTCTAGGATAGACTACAGCGTGTGGGACCACATTGAGGTGTCAGACGATGAAGATGACACCCATCCGAACATTGACACACCCAGCCTCTTTAGGTGGAGACACCAGGTACAGATTCAAATATGTTTATATTCAGTACAATTGGTAAACATTATACTGTAACTGTTAGCTGGTAACTTCATGTTTCCTGTACTCACGTTGTTGCTCTGTACAGTTATTATAATCGAGTAGGTTATACTAATATTAACTTACAAATGTTTAACCTTTTCAATTAGAAAAAACAAATAGGAGAGAGTGGATGTTCACCATAGTTCAAGACTGTGGCTGTATAATACCCATGTATTGCAGATAGATTGGTATGCATAGTCAAAGACTATGGTGGGCATGAAACCCTTGTTTGTACTTCAGGCACGTGTGGAACGAATGGAAGAATTTCAGAAAAAGGGTGAAGAGATAAACAAGGCACACTGCGAGAGCCGACGTAAACTGGCAGAGGTGCAGAAGAAAATACAAGAGCTGGCTGTTTCAAAAACAGATGATGCCAAAGCAGAGTTGATTAAAGCCCAGGCTGAGGAGAAGAAACTGAAAAAGGAGGAACGGGAGTGGGAGAAGAAGATGGAAGAGCACAACCGGGAAGAGAAGAAGATGCCATGGAACGTCGACACGCTCAGCAAGGAAGGTTTCAGCAAGGTGAGGCAGAAAATGGGGGGCCGTTAATTTATTATTCAAAAGTGGATAACGTGGAAGTGGGTATGTGATTGGAGGAATTAGCTGTGGGTCACGCATAAACATACATACATTTCAAGTTAACTAGTTTCTGTAAGATGGTTTTTGATCAGTCTGTAATGATTATTCTCTGCCTCTGATTGTCCTCCATAGAGCATTGTTAATGTCAGCCCGGATCCTGCTGAAGAGACTGAAGAAGAGAAGGAGAAAAAGCATAAAACCTTTGTGGAGAAGTATGAGAAGCAGATCAAACATTTTGGTAAGGATTATTGACATCCATTCACCATATATACTGCATGCTACAGGGTTTTAGTATTTGTAAGTAGAGGTGGTCCTTCATTGCTGTCTATACTACAGGCATGTTACGACGTTGGGATGACAGCCAGAAGTACCTCTCTGACAATCCTCATCTAGTATGTGAAGAGACCGCCAACTACCTGGTCATCATGTGCATTGACATTGAAGTTGAGGAGGTAAACACTACACAACAGAATGTGTTTTTCAACATTTTGGTTTAAGGGCACTCATTCCATACATTGCACGCAGGGATCCTTTTTATTTGCCACAAGTATTCCTTACATAGCCATTGTGTTCTGTAAAATATGTACATTATTATAAATGCTTCCTTTTCTTTGTAGAAACATGCATTGATGGAGCAAGTGGCACATCAGACTATCGTCATGCAGTTCATTCTAGAGTTGGCAAAAAGCCTCAAGGTGGACCCCCGTGGTTGCTTTCGTCAATTTTTTGCCAAGATCAAGGTAACTGTATTTTTATTTTTTTTTACCAAATGGTTTAACCAAATGTTCCAGGAACTATGCAGTAAATAGAAGAACTAGACTTTTCAACTTTCCTATTTGACTTTACATGTGAAGAACTGTGAATATTAGACAAATTACTCTAATGATGGATTAAAAACAACAGCCTTTGATATGCAGTTTTCACGCAAGGACCACATATTCCTCTGTCTCCCTTATTCCTCTACGTCAATAATTTGTGAATGATACAAGTATAATTAGTATAGAATAATAGGCGCTTGTACAATTGTAGAGGAATTAAATTTAGTCCTTGGTTCTTCCAGTGGAATTGCAAGTTAATTGATTGGGTGTGGTCAGAAGGGGGCTTTTTTGCACCTGTAATCACACCCAAATAGTCTGGGGGCTACTGCAGTACACCTGGACGTCACTGCAGTAACTTGAGATGATATGTGACTTTTTAAGTTCCTCAAAAGATTCCTGTGTTGCAAAAGCCCAAAGAAATGCTCAGTTAAATGCAGTTAAATGCTCATTTGTGTCGCCACCAACATACTAAATGATGCGTCCCCGTACAGACAGCAGATCAGCAGTACCAAGACGCTTTCAATGACGAGCTGGAGTCATTTAAGGAGCGGGTTCGGGGCAGGGCAAAGATCCGCATAGAAAAGGCCATGAAGGAATATGAGGAAGAGGAGCGACAAAAGCGCCTGGGACCCGGAGGGCTAGATCCTGTTGAAGTATACGAGTCCCTTCCACTCGTAAGTTCTTTTTGTTTGCAAGAAGCCTCAGCAATCTCCTTTTTATCTTCTCTTGTTCATTTGAAATGCCTTACAAAGTATGTTCTAAATTGCAGGAGATGCAGAAATGCTTTGATGAGAAGGACATCCAATTGTTGCAGGAGGTTATTAGCAAAATGGACCCAACGGTAGGTTTCTTTAAAGCCTACAGAATTTATATAATAATAATATATAGTGTCTGACCAATAAAGTTTCCTTGGAATCATATTTCAGTTATGTAAATATGTAGTTATCTGATACACGTATGTATTTTTGTCCTTCTTTAAGTTAATAAAAGTGATTGTTTACTCAATTTAGGAGGCAAAGGCTCACATGAAGAGGTGCATAGACTCTGGCCTCTGGGTCCCAAACTCCAAGACAGACGATGGGGATGATAAAGCGGAAGATACCTATGAGGAAGTGAAACTGGAGCAGGAAGAAACTAAGAAGGAATGACCAACACTGAGCCTGTGATTTGTTGTTTCTGCAAATGTACTTAACCTTACCCACTGTATTGCAACTCCACTATGTGTATGACTAGTTTGTCAAGGAACAATGAAATTCTTCTTCTTCTCTAAAATATTTAGCTGAGACTTAAGGGATTAGCCTTCACCTGACAGCACAACTACGTTGCATCAGTATCTCCTGCTTAGCAAAGTACTGCTGCTTGTGTTTAGGTATTTTATTTGTTTGGACATCACTAAAGCTGTATTTTTACATTTATTTGTATACAACTGTCAATTTGTGTGGGCTTGTATGTGCACATATGCCTGCCTGCTTGATTTGTGCTGTTGTATAGTTGAAAAATGTTCCATACATTTTCAGGTTGTGCATATAATTTTTTTTTTTTTTTTTTTTTTTTTTAAGAGCTTGAGCAACTGATGTATTCTGATGGTTATTTCCCCAAAGTGACATTTTCTACAATCTTGCTTAACTAAAGGTTGAATTATAAGTATTCAAGATCAAGGTGTTGTGCTTATGTTTAGAAACTGAAGGCGACAAGGGTGAAATGCTTTTGAAATCAAAAAGTTAGAGATTCACAAGAAAATGATCCACCTGCGGGACCTGTAGTGGTGGTAACCACTACTTAATAATGTGGCGCTAGTGCATCTGTGCATGGGTTTTCTAATGCATTTGGTATTTACAAATGACAGGTAAATAGACTGTAGAAAAATAAATATGCCATGGCCTTCAGTACATCATGGTGTCCATTAGACATTACAAGACAATAACCAATATTACACAGAAATCTGTTGATTTCAGGCCTGACGACGATTGGCCACACTGGCTTCACTCGTTCTGCCAACCATTAGCACATAAATGGAAATAAGAGTCGTAAGGGTGAGCTTTGTAGTGCTCGGGCATGATTGATGGCTTT